AGGTGTCTTGGGAGGCAGGGGAACATTTGCAGCTGATTGTCCCTTCAAGCTATTGTTGGGATGATTTTCCGTATGCAAGGTTTGATGTGCTGTGTGTGATAGAGACAGACGAATAACTAGATTTGTTTCAAAAAGCTGTATGTGATTGTGTTATTTTAGGAGGGGAAAAGGATCAGAATCTTTGTGTGCACGGGCATGAGATGCAGACTAACTCCTATTGTATGCCAAAGAGATCAAGTAATAATCACACTCCAGACTGATTTCTTTCCATCTCTCTCTCTCTCTCTCTGACACACACACACACACACACACACCATGTATCGTGTAACTGAAACACATATCTCAACAATGTGCAGAACTCATTAGTTCTGCATAACCGATCATTTGTCACTCCAGTGCTCTGCATGAAAACCCATGGATGCATATCTGAACCAGTAGGACAATTGTACAATCCAGTACACAAGACAGGTCCCTTCCATGTCTGCCTTGGGTACGCTTCTGGATTTGTGTCTAGAGATCAGTGGTTTTTATACAGTATAGCACTCCGCTGCTGCTGCAGAGAATACTTAGAAGAGGGCTCCAGTAAGGGACAGAGGTCTGTGGCAAGTTAATCTGTTCACACCTCACTGGTGCCAAGTGTGGACAGAATGGCCAAAATCTTGTTGCTTCGTGTAGTAACCTGCACTAGAGTAGACCCATTGAATCAATGGGGACTTAGTGAGTCAGTGGCTCCATAAGTTCTTTCATTTAAACGGCCTCACTCTAATTACAGCTTCCTTTGGCATAGTAAACTGCAGTTAGAGTAGGCCCATTTGAATCAATGGAACTTTCAAAGGAATTGACTCACTAAGTCTCCATTGATTCAGTGGATCTACTATATTGCAGTTTATCATGCTAAGCAACAGGATTTTCACGAATGTCTTCACTAGTGGAGCTTCCTAACGTATTTACACTAGATTTCAAGTAGTGACCACACCTCTCCACACCTTATCCGTGCAGCCAGGTTTTGGAAGAGCTTTTGCTTGGTTCCAACTAATACTGCTTCTTTGTGTTTGGTTTCAGAGATGCTTATTTTGCTCCCACTGCCAATGATAGTATTGAGTTAGTGCCCCGATCCACAGATTCTTGCACTCTGTGTGTGGTGTATATACATAGTGGAACAAATCCTTGTGTACTCTTCTGTGGAACAACCGATCCTTGTTAATAGGATAAAAAGGGCCCAGTAAGCAGAAAAGGGGAAAAGAACAGTCACTGTGTGTATTAATGTTTGACTGTGCATGTATGTGTTCATATGTATGTGCCCATAGATAGATATATATTCAGATATACAAACGTCAATGTGGAAGCACTGGAGTGCAGTTCATCAAGGTATACGACTCCATTTGTTTTTTGTTTAAATAATGACAAATGTCCTCCCCCCACCAAAACAACAACAACAACAAATCACACTAATATGTTAATTAGCTTATCATTGCAAGCTATCATACCTGTTAAAGTAGGGATTATTACTGGCTGGATTTCAGCACACAAACCCCAAAGGTCACTATCATTCCATGCTTCTCTGTGTGGGCAAAAGAAATGAAAAGCACTTAATGCTCCTGATCAAGTGGGTCATAGTCGATGAAGGCTTACAGTATAATAAGAGTATTATTCTTCAAGGAGCCAGAGGACCCTCTCGATTCTTTGTGCTGGAACTGATTGACACGTTTTCCTGAACATTACCTTGCCATTCTTAGCATACAGATCTTGGCTATCTAGGAAGTTAATCCAGGTAAGTCCTGGCTTATTAACTGAATGAGAAACAATCATCTCATACCAGAGATCTATAGACAACGCTTTCGAAGACTCCTGCTTGAAACTTATAAGCCTTTCAGCTGACAATGGCAGGCCACAGGCAACCATGTCATGACTCAGTGTAATGAGAGGGAAGTAGCCTCTCTCCAAAAGCAGACGTAGTTATTCAGAAACAGTTGTGAACCATTGATGACGCAAGTCCATTAATGGAAACAGAAAATACAAAAACCCAGATAACTGTGACCACTGCACTGCCCTCGCTGTCTGATTGGTAGTAGGACTATGGATTCTCATTTGATGGTGTCTGTGACTTCACATACACTACACAACACCCCACCAATCCCAGTTTTAAGTCCCTTGCTCTGAGAAACCAGTTTGTGCTGCTTGTGTATTTTAATACAGTAAGAGTTTACGCACTTGGTCATACTTGCTCTCCTCTTCCATTAAAAAAAGAGAAAATCCAAAACAATTTGAGGAGGGAGAGTTTTGGTAACTCCCATTGTTACTCCTGAGTAGACTCACCGGATCAATGAGATTTATGTAATTGTTGACTAACAGTTGATTCAATGGGTTTACTCCAGTTGGAACTAGCAATTGGAGTTTTTCAAACTCAGTCAGAAGGCTGTTCACACTAGCTACTGGAAGACACAATGCATGTATTTAATCTTCTCTGTAGCCAACTTTCCACAGGAGCAAAAAGAAAAGAAAAGAAAAGAAAAGAAAAGAAAAGAAAAGAAAAGAAAGAACAAGAAATGGAAAAAACTGTGGAAAAAGAAGAGATAGGTATACCTGGAGACCAATATTGTCTAAAGGGTATGCAATAATTAATGAAGGAAAGTGGAAAATGATTGACAAAAGCATAGAACAACCCTCTTTCAAAAACATTTATTCTAATAGTTTTAACAGCACATAATTGACTTAGCACAGGTTAATTACCATGCTTTTATCATTTACAGGTAACAGGTGGAGTAAGATCTGCTGGTGTTCTTCTGTAGAATCTGGAGTATCACAGATGCTGAATCTTAATTGTGGGAATGCACTCCTTAGAGAAGTCCAGTTCCTGGTTTCTTCTCCATTTGTCTGAGATTGTGCAACTCTTATTATTTATTTATTTATTTATTTATTTATTTATTTATTTATTTATTTATTTATTTATTTATTTATTTATTTATTTATTTATTTATTTATGTTATTGATATGCAATAATCACAACAATATACAATAATCACATGAGAAACTATACTAAAAGAATTAAACACCTATCAAAACCACAACTGAATACATTTTTAAAGCATTTAGCATAGGCATCCTTCAGTCTCGAGAGACTATGGTAACATGCTCTGAATCGAGGAGTGTCCTCTCCTGAGCATGATGCGTGGGTAAAGTAATATGGAGGATAGGCTGTTACCCAAGCAGCAGATCCCCCCTCTCCACATTGCTGAAATGGTCCAATGGAAAGGCAAGAGCCAATACAACTGGTTCCAGCAACGTCACAGGAGTTGGCAGAACGACACATGCTGCCTTCGGGACTCCGGCTCCGGATTTTGCCTCTAGGTTAACTCCTGATGACTTTTCCGTTAGTGGATATAGCCACAAGGTAGTGGAGGTTTGAAATCGGAGTTTTCCTTCTCCTAGATGGGCTGCCTTCCATGGCTGATGAGCCCCACCTACCCGGCCTGCTCTTTAATAGTGTGGAAGTATGATCTGACCCTTAAAACATTCCTGCCCCCCAGGTGTATGCAAATCTAATTGGCTTTCCTATTTACCATATTAGGGCCAGAGACAGAATCAGAGAATTTGAGAATTTCATGCGCCGTTAGGTGCGCAGTCCTGGGAAACGCTCATTTAAAGCAAAAAGCCCCACCCCCAGGCCATGTGGTGGGGGAGACCAAAAGAAAGCCCAGGAAAAAAAAACTCCTCAGCAAAATGTCCATGCAAACATACTGGCCTTCAGCCTCAGCCCAGCTTCCTAGGGAAAACCATTTAGAAATCTGTAAATTCAGTACATAACAGCATTCCAAAACAGCCCCCCCCCCACCATTGCTTAAAAGCCTATCTGAAAAGTCTTTGCCTGTATGTCAGAAGGACAAGAGGGAGGGGGGCCAACCTGGCTTCTAAAGGCAGCACATTCCAAAGTCTGGAAGCAGCCACTGAGAAGACCCTCTCTTGTGCCCTCAATAAATGAGCTGGGAAGTTGGTAGAACTGAGAGGAGGGCCTAATAATAGGATTAATGTTTTATTGCATTAATATTTTATTGGCTGGTTGGATAGCACCGTGGTTTAGGTATCTTGCTGCAAAGCCAGAGGTTGGGTGTTCAATTCCCCACCGTGCCTTCCACGAGTAGAGCCAGCCTGTGTGGCCTTGGGCAAGCTGTATGATGCCCGGGCAATCCCAGAAGAAGGGGATGGCAAACCACTTCTGAGTATTTACTACCTAGAAAAGGATTGCTATAAGTCAGAATTGACAGCACATGTTTATTATGATATCATCATCATCATCATCATCATCATCATCATCA